TACAGTTTTGTTCGGCCCTTATGTCAAGGTACAACGATTTTCATGAACGTCGAATAACAAATATATCAGAGGTTACGAACGTTGACTTAGATGACATACATGATGATGTCATTTTTATCAATATCAGAAATACAGTACGAGGATTTTTGTGGAGCTCACCTTAATTCTTGCAAGAGCGCTTCTCCCTGTGCAATGGTAGAGGCACAGGCGTCTATGCTTTGCTCTCTATGCCGGGCAGTTTCCTCCAGCAGCCTTTCTGTCGTTTCTAAGCTTTCCGCGATACTTTCGTCATTCTATAATGCAAGAGAAAAATAATTAAATTTACCTTTGAACGCCCGTAACAAGCGAAGTGTCGGGGAAGGTAGTGAAAGAAAGAAATATTTATTTGGGGTTAAACGTGTGGAACTTTTATCTACTTCGCAGGGAGCGTGACATTGTTTGAAATTGTTTGAAATTGTTTTTATAATTCAGAGGCAAACTTTGAGTAACGTATCCGCATACTTTAGAGATTATGTGGTAAACTGTTAAAAAATAGCAATATTGCGTTAGGGCTAGTATTAATATACTGTCAAAATGTCGTTAAATTGCACTATGAAGTTGACTAAGAAAAACTGTTTTTCAGTGTCGGCCTTAAGAGGCTTTGTACCTCAGTAAGCCAGCTCGGCAAAACATTTATCATAAGAACTTGCAACATTACTGCACCACCTAATATACACATAATATACTTTATGCCACATGTTTCATTATAATATGGCATATCTACATCATGAGAATACCAAGTGCCTTTTACAGGAGCTCCGATTATTTACAATTACTGTTTATACATTGACGTTGGTTAGGTTTGAAACCCAATATTGCAACTGCCAGTATGGAGATTGTGCATACATTTATTTCCTTAGCCAATACAAGCAAAGGTTCGTTATGTATAGTCAAAATGACATTGTTTACAAATGGAACGATTGATGGTTTAGCGACCACATGGTGTGTTTTTGTACAGGAAAGAACCTTATTAGACAAAATAGTTCGATCAAATAGCTGTATCGGCTTGCTTAAAGTGTGACGGCTTCCAAAGCCACATAATTGAAACACTTCACACCTCACTTTGAGGGCTTCTTCCCTTTCTTAAGCCACTTTGTTTTCCAGACAGTGTCGGTTCTATTCAATTTTTTAGTTTCTTCTCTAGTACATACTTTTAGGCTTTAAGTATTGTAGAAAGTAGCGTTATTTCTCTGTAATTATTACAATCTCTCTTGTCTCCTTTCATAAAAAGTGGTAAAATCAACCCTGTTGTCCACTGCTCAGATATTTCTCTATTGTCTGTATGTAAAACATACATACAACCATGAAGATATTGTAAATATATTGCTGCAAGACAAGGCAGACATCGATAGTATTTATATTATTTCCAAGTCATCTGCATACAATAACTTTGAACATGACAAGTCGAGATATAGATCATTTATGTATAACCTAAAAGAGTAAAGGTCCTAGATTTGGCCCTTGGAGAATTCCTTATGAGCGGTGAACGGTATCCTTCGTATTCCACATTTTGATGGCTATCGAAATGATGAGCTAAAAAACGGCACAATAATATCTGAAAACTAAAAGAAACTTCAATAGGATTCCTAAATCGATTCTGCCTATAATCCAAAGATACACATACGAGCCCCTTCCCACTTCAGTTGGCCCAACTATTGAAATCTTAGTTTTTTTCTTATCAAACACAAATAATAAAAATGTAGCAGGGTATTATAGGTTTAAAATATTAGCAATGAATATTTTGATAATATTATATAGTAGAAAACACCAACTTTATCACTCCCTAATCAAATTTGCAGCATAAAAAGAACACATGCTCATTTCAATGCAAAATAAGTCTATAACGCATACGTGGCTGTGAAAAATAAAAGCCATGGCAATTGTTTTTATTAATCACAACTATCAGAATACGTTTAAAATAGTTTTGGGTAGTTAAGGTTTTCAAAATGGGTAGAAGAAAGGTTATTAGTGAGAAAATTCGGTTACTGATAATTAAATTTTTTAATTCTGGAAAATCAAACTCAGAAATTGCAACTTTGTTAGACTTATCGCGGTACAGTGTGAGGAATATTGTTAGAAGATATAACGTAACTGGTTCAGTTAATAGTAAGCCACGATATGTGAAAAAAAGTAATATCACAAATGCCGACCGAAGAGCATTAAGAAGAATAATCGTGAAAAACAGGCGTGCCAATTATTTACAATTAAGTGTTCTGTGGAGTGACGCTGTTGGAAGGAGAATTTCGAGGTCCACAATTCATAGAGAGGTCCACGAACTGGGATTTAGCGCTTGCAAGGTAAGTTTTCTTATAAAAAAAGTGAAGTAAAAACCCTAAAGTTGCACAACTTGTTTATAGGCCAAAGAAAAGCCACTATTAACTCCACTGCAAAAGAAAAATCGGCTTAGATGGGCTAAAGAACATAGACAATGGACACCTCAACAATGGTGTGCAATACAATGAAGTGATGAGTCCCGATTCGAAGTTTGTGTTTTTGACAGTCGCAGTAGAGTTATTCGCAAAAAAATGAAGCATTCCATGTTGATTGTCTGAAGAGAAAAGTGAAATTTCCAGCATCCATTATGGTCTGGGGCAGTATGTCATCAAAAGGAGTAGGAAAACTTCATTTTATTGAAAATTGAAATATTTGGCAATTCGCTTTTACCAGTGATGGAAGAATGTTTGACATCCGGTCAAGATTTTGTGTTTCAGCAAGATGGTGCAGCGTGCCATACCTCAAAAAAGGCTATAAAATGGATGGAAGAATATAATGTGCCACTTTTGAAATGGGTTTCTAGCAGTCCAGATCTGTCACCTATTGAAACTTTATGGCACGAGATGAAAAAGGTTCTACGACAACATCCTGCTCGTACAATCACCGAACTGAGACAAAAACTTCAAGAAATATGGGATTGTTTTACATTTATTCGCACATTGTTTATTTGTTCAGATGTTCTATTAGTTATAGGTCTAAGTGATTTCAAATATGTATTTTTTATGACTAGAGTGTATCAAAAATGTTTTTGAGAAAGTAAATTGTTTTAGAAGTAAATAGTTTCGTCATGTTTAGTTTATAAAGGCATATTTTGGTACAAATCTTGAAGTGGGCCAACTGAAGTGGGAAGGGGCTCGTATAGTTTCTGTCAAGCTAGATCAGTTACACTAGATTTTTCATAGAAAAAGCCCTGCTGATCGATCAACAAAGTCTCTCGTTGCAGCAAAAATGAACATGTAAAGTATGATTTCACACAACCTTAAAAAGTTCCGAGATAAGTCTATAGTTATTAATTATAGTTGTTTCACCTTTTTCAATATCAGAGTTTGTCTCCAGAATTAAATAACCGCTGCATCACCAAATTCATAGAGGAAGATAATACAGGAAGAATGTACGGAACCAAACAAATGTTTTACCTGTAGCTCTTGCCGGAGATCGTCCACCCAATTGCTGAGCTCCTTCTCGTGGGTGTAAAAGAGTACGGCTAGGTCCAATCTCCTCCTCCGTTGCTCTACGCGAGCTGCGAAGGAGGTGACGTGAGCCTCCAGCTCGTGCGCCACTGAGTAGATCTCGTCGGGGTCGCACTCGCCAGTGTGCGCCAATTCCTCGGCGGCAGCCAGCAGTTTGTCGGCGTTCGTGTATGTATTCTGGAAAAAAACGCCATGTCAAAAAGTATTCTGAATACAGTACAGGAAGTATCTTCGCATGTATCGAGAAAATATTCTGATTATTTTTTAACAATCTTTTTCAAAAAATTTGCCTATTGCCAGGCCCAAAAATAGCATCAGAATTGAATGTTTTTAAACAAGTTCAAAAATATTTTTTTTTCGCTTCGGGCAATGATTTTTGTAGGAGTTTTTTGGGTCAATCTGCATGAAAAAGATTCTGAACTTTCCTCTAAGGTTAGGTAGTTTAATATTTGGAAAAGTTTTAAGGCGTATTGATATTGTAAACCTCTGTTTTTTGAGCTGTTATTCAATCGGACAGTCAATATATCGCTTATATTACAACCTTAGGGAAAAGTTCAACCTTTTTGTCCAGAATGACCCTAAAAAAGCTTTGTTCGGAGCGGAGAATCCATTTTTAGAATTTATTATAAAATTGTTTAATCAATTTCCAAATAGAGCTTTGCAAAACTTTTTTTGATGGTGGTATTTGAATTAGTGTCTCAAATTACCCATTTATAGAGTAAGGTGAAGAAATTTTACATTTCATTAATAGCTACTCCTGCTCTCCAAAAAGATTTCGGGGCGGATACATTTTTGCAAAAAGCTGCCAGAATGTTTCAAAAGTTTCATTTTCCTACTCACAACAAGACATCGTGACATTATAGCACTTTTTGGTGCATATATTTGAAATGATCCTTCCTAATTACCTCTGTGTTCCAGGTTCCATTCACTTTTATCAACGGGTGACGAAAATTGATGATTTGATTTCAGCTTTAAACATTAGGTGTAAAATGATTAAGATACATTTATTTGCCATCCACAACTTTTTTCCATATAATCTCCAAGCGCAAAAACATCTGGATCTAGATTCTTAGACCATATTCAGATATAATACACAATTTACCGGTCAAATAATATGTTGTTCAAATTAAATTTTAAATAACTTTTTAACTGTTGCACCAATTTCGTTAATTTTGCGGGTAATTTGCCGATCTTGCAAAAAATTTAAAATGTTTGTTGTTATACAGGGTGTAACTAAAAGGTGCATTTTGAGTAATGTGTCTCCGTATGAGAATTTTAAGCCTCAACTTTTCTCAACAGTTCTTTTTTTGATTCATGTCAATATCTCAATTATTGAAGAAAATCACGCGAATCATAGCCATACACAATTTGATTTGAAAAATTACAGTTACAACATTGACAAGAAAACTATGCGAATCATAACCATAACCATAAACAATTTAACTTAAAAAATTACAGTGACATCATTGGTTATCAAAAACGAGTATTTCGTCCCCTGGCTTGATTAACAGCTCTCATCCTCTCTGGCATAGACTCAAGTAAACCAGCCCAAGCTGTTCATTGGGACACATCGTTACACACACAATATTCCAGGGATGTTTTACTCCAGAATAATTCGATAAATAAAATAATTATCTATGGTTTTTCTCATTGATTTTGCTACTATTAGAATTAGGCAGCAGCGGTGGCCGCAGTAGTAGACTCCTAATCAGTCGTCGTGCGCTGTGCGGGTTCGAATCCCGTCCCAGGAGAAATTTTTCTCTTGCTATGGATGTTGTGATTGTCCGTAGGTGGTAGACGGTCTCTGACTGTCGATCGCGGAGGTACCACCTGGCGGATCTCGTAGGCGGAGCCAGAATGTGTAAATGCCGCATGCACACGTATTCCCTCGCCAGAGTCCGTGTAGCGTTCCCCCTGTCCCCTGTATCCCCCTATAGCCCGACGGTACCCAATGGGTGTTTAGGCCTTAGGCCGTGGTAGTTTGAGTATAAAAAAAAGTGATATCATTGGTAATTAGAAATTGTTATCAACTATGGTACCATGAACATCATTCAATCATCGAGTCAAATCTGTAGCAGGAACTGTCCTTTCTCGAAGAGCTTGAAGTCTCAGACACCGATCTTCAACTGCGTTTATTGCTTTCCGTCTTCCCTATCCAGGTCTTCTTGAGTAAGAACCATTTCTCTAAATCTTTGTATCGCATCGAATACGGTATACCGAATAGGACGACCATCATCTTGTAAAGCTACAGCTTGCGCTACTTGTTCCGGTGTCATTTTTGTTGAGCATTGCTTAATTTGAAAAAAAAATTGTCAGGTAAATTTTTCGTGGCAGTGTAACATAATAACAAAATCGCCTGAGTCTAAATGCGTTTGCTGACACCTCTGGCTGCATCTTAATACGGCACTGCATACCACACCTTCTTACAATGAAGGTTCGATACAACCACGGATAATTTTTATCCTTCCATCCATTGTTTTAAATATAATCCGATAGAAAAATTAGCATAATGTGACACTTCAGCCAGAATTATGTAATCAGTGCTCGACGTTAAGCATCTTTTAACGGGCTCATGCTATTACTCTCTCTTTCTATCTCTAGTTTTGGTTTAAGTAATTACATACAAGTTGTGTAGGAAATAATTTCACGCGCATACACGTTGATTAGAATTGCTGCTAATTCAGCTGGCACTACTCATGACTAGAACAATTATAAGCAATGCGAACAAACATACAATCGCTATAAAGATATAGGAAAGTCTATCAATGCCGAGCAGAAGTAATCAGCTTTTCTCATGCTAAGGCATATAGATGTAGAGAGAGAAAGATTTAGTCCTAAGGCTAAATTAGAAAATAAATACTTAAAGCTCTGGTGGCTGCAGGTCTACATTCTCATCACCTAAACAAGTTGGGCAAACGAAAATGTTGGAAGAGACTGTTTAATGGGGTGGAAAAGTACGATCTGTTTGGCACAGCAGAATACATAAAATTGTCAGTTTAAATAAAGTAATGACAAAAATTCGAGAAAATATCAGCTAAAACATAATTGAAATTCGTCCTCTCTCATCGCCCTTTTCTATTTCGTCTCGTCGTTTGTTATTTAAGCGGTCCGCAGGACCTTGGTTCTTGTCTAGCAGAATGATGTTCTCTTTCTTCAAAATCTTCCTGAGCCCAGCCAGGAGAGATTTTTTATTAAGTAGAAGATAGTGGAAGACGAAAGAAAGGAAGAAAAGCAGAAAGGGGAGAAGAAAGGGGAATAGAATCAATTAATAAGAACGAAATTTATTTAATCTGTATTCCGAATGGTGCTTAATTTGGTTAGAGTATTGCCAAAAGATTTATAATTTAGAGAGCCTGACGGGGCCTTTTGTGTTTAGGTACTTGAGCCGGAGTATAGTCCACTGCGGCACGCAGCAACACATGAGTGAAATAGAAACTTCCACTTTCCTGGTTCGCGCAGTGCTATCGGCGTGACCCGCTTTGATGGGGGTAGTCTCGAACCTGGAGGGCTTGGTTCAGTCAGAAGCCGAGGTTAGAGTTTGAGTGGTAAAAAGTTTTGTTTGAGGCAAAGGAGATGAAGATGAAGTAAGAAGCTGACTGGGCTTACTTGGCTGTGGTGGAAAATCGCTGGAGCTCTTCTTGGATCTGCGTTTTTTCGATACTTTAAAGCTTCTTGCATGTTTGTTATTTCTATTTCCGTAATTTCCTGCTGCTTTTTATTGTTCTCCAATAACTGGCTAATGAAGGCATCCTTGTCGGACAGACATTCTCGGTCTGGCGGGGCACGTTAACTCTCGCCAATATTGGGGCAGCTGGGAGTTGCATCCTGCTGATCCCCAGGATCTGTTTCCATCTTATTAAACGCCTTCTTCCTGGATTTTCGCGAGTTAATTCTCAGAGCAAGAATTCTGTCAACCTGACAAATACCCTGCACAGGGTGTTCAAGGCTCACATCGCCCTGCTATCGGTGATCTAGCTCTCCTTTACCAATATACTAACTGGCTGCTTCTTTGCGCTTTCTTTTAACACGCTTTTATTAGCTTGGCCTGTATGTATGTACACGTAACTGAATTTTCTACTCATAATCTCAAAAAAAAATGAGATCAACAAATAACTTCAGCTTATTACTCTACCATGATTTAGATACTGCTTTCGTGAAGAGCAAGGATGTATCAAAAGGCATCCATCGTCTAGTCTAGAGAATAAGCGAGGTTTCCGCGATTATAAAGTAAACATATTGTATCTTTGATCATCGATTGACAAATTCTCCAACCTTATGCTGTAGTTGGACGTTCATAGACAATTTATATCGCCACAGCCATATTGCCAAGTAGGATCACAATAATTCCCTAAGAAGTAATCTAAACAGAATCAATTTTCCTTTTAACACATCACATGTGGTTTACGAATTAGCGTCTAAAATAATGTATCATTTAAATAACGGTGATAAGTGCATCGCTTTGTTTTTGGATTTAGCAAAGGCATTTGACACGGTATCTCATCCTATGCTCCTCCAAGTACTGAAGGGACATGGAGTTAGGGGTGCTGTGTTAAGTGTATTTAGAGATTATTTAATGCATAGGATTCAGTGTGTCAGGATTGCGGACGTTCTAAGTGAACCAAAGACGGTTGAGCATGGAGTTCCACAGGGTACAGTACTTGGACTGATTCTTTTTAATATACTTTGAAGTTGAGTCATTAATTTTCAGATAATGATTGTAGAAGGAAGATAAACCAAAATATGTGTGTAAAAATAAAAAAAAAATTTAAAAAAAATGTTACCTTGTTTTATAAAGTACCCTCCCGACAAGTATTTCAGTGCGAACCTGTATTTGATCGTGCGGTCTTGGAGCACATTTATTACCCTGAATAAAACCAAAACATTTGAATTAATTTTGTCTCTACCAGTTATCTGTCTGCATATTGCGATAAAATTTTATCGAACAGGATAGCTGCAATGAATGAAATGTAGGCTAGGTCAGGAATCAATTACGTCAATATCTTTGATACATTCGCGTATAACTATTAGCTATTAAAAACGTTTAGTATCAATCATAGCGTTCTAAATTGCACATACGCGATTTCGCTATGAGTGAAACAACGCGTTTCAAGCTTGGATAATCACATTTATAAACAAACTAATCATCTAAATAAAAAAGTGAAAGTATCTCTTCAAATATTTATTTGTTGTGGGTTGGATAATCACCTTGATATTGTGGTTCAGCATGGACACACAAAGTAATGATGAATTTATAATCATTGTTTTGCATGACAGATAAATATGAAGAGGTGTTTTTTTACAAACCGTTGTACCTAAACAAAATAAAAAAATGAAAGTTATATGAAACGTTGAATTGCAGATATTTATTTGATTTGCCTGTGAATAGAACGACATCAAAGCAAAAAATTCTAAAATGAGGTCTTACACTGCTTCAGCTTGCTCTAAAATTATCAATAATTTGAAAACTTTTTAAACTTTTTTGTTGGTATGTCATGAACTCCGAAGTTATTATTCATTTATTATCTATATTGGTCTGGAACACCACGTTGAGTCCTCGCATAGAATGAATTTGGAATCTAGGCACCCGATTTATTCACAACTATAAGAGCTTTCACCCATATTGCAGATACGATATTTCAGTTTTTTCTCATGGAAAACTTCATGATATAGAACTCTGACCAAAATTTTCAATCAAAATATACAGGGTGACTTTGAAGTTGAGTCATTAATTTTCAGATAATGATTGTAGAAGGAAGATAAACCAAAACATGTGTGTAAAAATTAAAAAAAAAAATAAAAAAAAATGTTACCTTGTTTTATAAAGTATCCTCCCTACAAGTATTTCAGTGCGGACCTGTATTTGATCGCGCGGTCTTGGAGCACCGGCATGCCCTCCCCTGTGAGGTCTTAAGTCACCTGATTCACGAGCCCTTTGTACTACATTAACAAAGGCACGAGGGGTTGGTTGCACTCGATTGGGAAACCGATCCGCATAAATCCGTGATGCCGCGGCAGCATTTTGTAAAGACTCCCTCCCCGTGAATAAGAATCATGTCCATAAGTTCACCATTTTCGTAAACATGTGCCATTTTTTATTTCGTTTGAGCCACGCAACAAACACCACTATTCACTCACGCGTTACCGACTGACACATTGACTGAATACAACTAAAAACATCGTGATAAGCGTTTCAAATTCTTTTGCTTTTTTGTTTCCGATGCGATGAACCGATAATGCGGATTATATCCGTTGTTGCCAAACACGAGCACATAATATTATTATTGAGACAGGGCGGTACTCAAACTTCTAAAGGGCTATACCTTTGTTACTTTAATTTTACCAGAAAAATGTCAAAGGAAAAAAACATTTCTTTTGATCAGATCTACTCACTGTTAAAATAAATGACTCAACTTCGAAGTCACCAGTATATGTAAATTATCTCTGCAGTCCTGCAGTTGATGGCGATGTAATTGCCTATGCTGATGACACCGTGGTGGTGTTTCATGGAGAGACATGGGAATCAACGGGTAAAAAATTGAAGACTGATTTTGCAAAAATTAAAAACCTTCTGGGCACATTTAAATTAACTCTGAATATAAAAAAACCCATTATATTGCCTTCTCTATAACCATGGCTAATAGACCAGCATTTAATCAAATTAAACTTGATAATATAGATGAGCCTTTGAAAGAAGTAAATGAAATTAAATATTTGGGGGTTGTTGTTGATAAGCACTTGAAGTGGGACCGACATATGCTGTATTTGAGCAAAAAAATTAGATTTTTCATCCATAAATTCTACGTTCTACTATTAATGATTTACAAAGCAGT